ACAGATTTTAGAGTAATCCAGAAAATGCTTAATTATGTAAAGAAAATTATATTGCCGTAAACAAAAGCTGCCATGAACAGAAGTCCAAATATATGTACTCAGCCAACGCAGTTTACATTTTAGTTGATTTTGTTTTGAGTTAATTGCATTCGTCTCCCCTGTTCCCATCAAATACATCAACTCCCACTTGCACCTTGAAGTGCCTTAAAAATAACAATCTATAAAGGTTAATAGAGTCTTAACCCCCACAGCGGAACGTATTTTTATCTCAGTGCAGTGCTCCTTCTTCTTCACGCTTCCAAGAAATATTCGTAATTTCCCTTTTCTGTCCATCATGAGAGATATCAAGGGGCATTTTCCCATTAAATATGTATTTGTATCCTTGACTTGAATTGACTTGACTGTTTGGAAATAGTCTGAAAATAGCAGCTAATCTTTGCTACCAAGAACTGCGAAAGACCCAAGAAGCCCAGGACTCAGGACGCAGGACCCAGGAAAGTTTTCTCCGATTGCTTTAGATTATTTTTATTCCTTTCTTTTTCGCTGGGCTGCTTCTGCTTCTGAGACTTTTGTTGTTTCTATTGTTGCCACGCTTTATATTATTCTTGTTTTTTTCGGTAGCAAAACATTTTGCATGTTGACCTTTCGCTTTATGGTTTTCTTGTGTTGCTGCCTGCCCCCCTCCGTTGTCTGCTTGGACATTTCAAATGCATTTTCAATGCGGTTTCGTTGTTGCCTCTTCTGCTGATTGCGGTGGCTAATTGAAAGTGTCAATTATCAGCTGGCTGTGGAGCAAGTAGCAGCGACAGCAGGAGGAGGAGCAGCAGCTGCAACAGCAGCAGTGTCTGTGGCAGTGGCACGTTGGCAGTGAACTTTCACATTTGTGTTGGGGGCAGCTCTCTGTGTGTGTGTGTTTGTGTGGGAGGGGGTTGCTAGCTACCTACCGTATGTGAGCTATTCCCTTCACTTGTGGGCGGGGGCAGCGGGGGCGTATGCGTAATGTGGCATAACCTTGGCTAATGTCCAGGCGACGCCACACACAGAGAGGCAGGGAGCTAAAGAACTGCTGCTGACCTGCTTGCAGTGGCACAGTAAAGTCGTGCGACCACTCCGCCCCCCCCTTTGGATTTTTCATTATTATTATTATTATAATTTATCCTTGTGCCTGATAAGTTTTTCCTTTGTGCGCTTTGGGGGCTTTTCCGAGCTACGTCTTGTACGGTCAACGGGCATATCTGCCATGAAGTAAACGGCGGTGGCGGAGGGGAAATTAATACAGGGAATACAGGCAGGGAAATTTATGGGCATTTCTCTCGATGCGCTCTCTCGCTGCTCTCTTGGGTGAAACCGTTAGCAAGCGCGCGCATTGAGAGGTTGATTTCGTGGTGAATAGTTAACGGTAACGCTCTTGCCTCTTCCTTGCCCGTGACTTCAGTTTGCCTGAAGCTCTACACTCACTCTCTCCCTCTTCGTGTCTCGCTTTTTCTGCTCTTTGTCTATCTTTTTACTGCTCTCTCTCTCACTGCTGCTGCTTGTCTATTCATGATTGACTTTATTTATTTGTTTATTCAACTAATTAAATATAGTTTTTGCATGATTTATGCATTTATGAAAAACAGACAAGAAAAATCTTTGAAATTGTGAATATGTTCTCGAGGCCGCCATGGCATGAATTTAAATCAACTCAAATCCAATCATTGAGATTTTTGTTGCTATAAATATTTCATTGTTGAGGTGAAACATTTATTAATATACATTTATGCCCAAACACTGCAGCTTCGTTGTCTGAATTTACAGGAAACCTCTCAAGCTTGTGCTCAAAATGTCATCCCAAATATTCTCTTCTTACAAAATTTCCATTAAATGAAATACGTTAAACCTTAAGCCTTATCATTTAATGTTGCTCTTAATGTACCTGTTCCTGTGGCTCCCTGCACTGCCTCGTTTGCCATTCAGTGCGTCCTGGTGTGTCCTGATTCCATGCTGGCATAAAGCAGCCACTTAAGTCTCACGACAGCTGCCCCCGAAACCAGAGGACCACCCAACTGTGGCCCAACGCAGTCATCAATTTTGCATGGATGTTGTCGCTGTTGTTGCAGGGGCCATGCTGCATTTGCTGCATTATCAATTCATGAGCCACAGGGCGGAGGACTGACTGAATGAATATATAGCCAGGAGCCTGGCACAGACAGGCAGGCAGAAAGACAGGCATAAAGAGCTTGGCCCATAAACACCACTGGGGGGTAGCTGGATTTTATCTCGCTTGAACTACATAAGTTATGGGCAGCAGAGAGACGGCAGTGCGAACCCTAAGGACAAGACAAGGAGCAGCACATAAACCCCGCAATAAATATCCATTCAGATGAGCAAATCAATTGGAGTTGCGTATGTTTAATTTTAATTAAAAGTGTTGCTAAAGGGAGAGTGTGCCCCGGCTTTTAGTGCCATCTCTGACCTGACCAACTTGCTGCAATATTCATGCAATCAAAGCTGATGCTTGCCACTGCTTTCCACTGCTCTTAGCTGCTACTTTTTGCCACAGTTTGCCCCTTGCTGCGCTGCTGCTGCAAATGCTGTGGTTGTGTGCCACAGCTGCTGCTGCCACTTCTAATCCTCTTGCTAAGCTGCTGCCTCGCACTCAGCTTAGAGGTCGATATCCTTTCTCGCTCTCTTTTCTCTTTTCTCCTCTCCTTCTTTTGAGTTTATTTTTAATTTTATTGAAGTTCTGCTGCCGCTTCCTTGATGGCATTTAATTACGTTTAGGGATGAAGATTGCTTCCTGCACTGTCCCCCCCCAGCAACGAATTGGCATAAGGAAATGAGGCACATGAAAGCTTCTTCTGTTGCCGTTTCCTAAGTAAAGTGTCTGCATCCGGTTGCATATTGCACTTTTATGCAGGGTGCAGCACGTTATGGGTCTCCCACCCCTTCCCAATAAGTAGGAGGAGCCTGTGGGGGGTTTTGTCAACATAAATAGCAGCACCCGTAGCCCGCTTCTACCCCCTCCGCACCCTTCAGCTGGCTCGACTCTTCCGTCTGGCCAGGCAATCTCCCTCTTTATGCGTGGGGCGCGTATTTCTAGTATAGGAGTAGGGGGAGGGGTGTGTGTGTGTGTGTGTGTGTGTGCGAATGGCCTCGTATATATTTTCGCATTTTGTACGTGCGTCACCGTGTCAACCGCAATAGCGGTCCCCCCTAGCTCTGCACCTTCCTCTCTGTCCCTCTTTGGCTCTCTGGGACCGACCCACGACTACTTTGGCCCGTTTTGCGGCTCGGTTGGTTGTTTGCCCTGGCACGTTGATGGCCATAAATACAGTTACATATGTTTGCATTGCGGCCAGATACTCCCCCCAGTCCACTGCCCCTTGGTGTGTCCCTTTGCCTGAACCCATCTCATCTCGTTAAAATTTCTCATTTCCGTTAGTTTTTTGTTGCCGCTTTTGTTGCTGTGCTCATTTTTGTTTATGTTTTAAATTTTTCCTCTCACATTGCATTTTACGTTTTACGAATTTTAATTAAATGACAGCAGAAAAAAAGAAAATAATACAATTCTGCTGCCGCTGCTGCCTGTTTTTTGGGCCGCAAATTAAATGTTTTTGTAGAACGTGTTGCAATTTTCCACAACAAAATAAAGGCAGGCAGTACTTTCAGCACTTTATGTTTAGTTGATAATTGGATAGTGGAATTAAAGTGAATTTAAGCCCTTTTTAGGGCTGCTGCCTGCCAGTTATGGGGAATTTTCATCAAAAAACTTGTGATAGTTTTTTTATTTTTTTGGTTGCATTTCCCGCTGCCGAGTGGGAATTTATTTTCCTTATTTCTCTGTGCATTTCCAGGAAGGATTTTATGTGCCAGATAAATACCAGCAGAAATTCTTGGAGGAATACAATTATTATCCGCTTTTCCCTACGCTCCTTCCATTCGCTGCTGGTTCTTTTCCACAGAAAAATAATACAGATTAAATGCATGGAATTTATTTTATTTTTTTGTTAACTTATTTATAAAGAAAATACAAGTAAAATTTTGCATTTATTTAAGCTCTCTATTGTTATGTTTTATTTAAGTAATTTATGGCTTCCCTTTTCGTACTTTTGAAGTGCATTTTGCAACTCCAAATTGTATTTTTAGCTCTTCCATGAAAAGATGATTTATAGCCTAAAGCTCTAAAATAAAGCGAAATAAAAGTAATTCCCACCATTCTCTTGAGTACTTTGATGGCAAAACTGTGCAGATGAATAGTAAAAATAGTTGAGATACTCGTAAAAATACTCTTTAAAATTGATCGAATTATGCATTGATTAAACGCATAATTTATATGCCATTTGTTGGTGTTTTCTTGTGCAGAACTTTGCCTTATATTTGCTGTAAATTTAAGGAATTTTAAAAGCTTACAAAGGAAACAAAAACTAAACTTCCTCTTGGCCTTTTTTATTGCAGTGCTAAACAACTTGAAATTTACAATTCTTCTGTGTACCGAGAGGAGTGGTGTGTGGAGTGCCTGCAAATTGGAAAGCAAAAATGACGCAGCCACGCACAAGGCAACAACAACCAACACCACAACAACAACAACAACAACAGCATCAAGGGAAACAAAAACAACAACAAATGCAACAACAAAATATACAGCAACTTAAACAACAGCAAAAACTGCAATTAGAGGCAACTACAAAGGGCCGGCAACGATACAGAGCAGCAGCAGAGCAGCTCTGGTGGCAGTAGAACGCAGAGGCAGAGGCAGCAGAAGTGGTGCAGTGTGGCAGTGGCAGTGGCACATACAGCAAAAATGAAGCAAAAACCAGAGGAAGAAGAAACGAAGAAGAATTTTCCACACAAATTTGCATTCAGCCAAAGAAATACAAAAGTCTAAAAACAAAGGAAGAAAAAAAAGGAAGCCAAACACACACACACACACACAAGCACACACGCACACACACAGCACGGATACGAAAAGGAAGTTGTATGAAAAAAAAGAAAGGGGTCAGAGGGCAAGGCACACATACACACACGTAAACACAAAGAGAAACGAGTGCATTGTGAACAAATTTTTTCAACGAATTTCCAAATGTCTACAAAACAAATCTAACAACAAAAAACAAAACCAAAAAAAGACCATAAGAAATTTTGAAATTTGCTCTGTGATTTTCTATCAGAATGGTTTAAACAAAATAATCCACATAATAATTAAAAATAATAATATTTAAATATTTATAAATATTTGCTAACAAACAAAAGAAAAAACAAGCTTTAAATTCAAGTAACAAACATTTCTATAAATATTACAAAGCCCCAAAGCAACCAACAAGCAACCGAAGGTTTATTGATACTTAAAGCTAATTAGTGCAACTAAAGTTAGTTTAAAACTGTGCAACTGTGAGGCAGATCATTACCCCACTACAACACGCAGTAGGATCAATCATCGAGCAGCCATGGACGACATGCCGGATCTTTCGCATTTGACACCACACGAGCGCATGCAGATCGAGAATGTGCTCATGCGGCAGAAGCAGGAGGAGGAGGCACAGAATGAGATAATGCGGTGAGTTATCGCTAAGCTTTGACTTTCTGCATTTTTCTCTGTTAAATAATGGATTTTTCTCTCTCTCTCTCTCGCTTGCAGACGCAAACAGGATGAGGTTGTCACATTGGAAATGCAAATACGACAACGCTCGGAGCAGCAAAAGAAGGCCGGCGTCGAACTGGATGCCACCTGTCACATATGCCTTAAGACCAAATTTGCCGATGGCGTTGGACACATTTGCCACTACTGCAACATACGCTGCTGTGCACGTTGCGGTGGCAAGGTGACATTACGCAGCAACAAGGTGAGTGAGTGTGTGATGGGGAAAGCCAGCCAATCTCCCCGAACCATTTGACAGCTGACTGAATTGAATCTCTCTCTCGCTGTGGAGACCTTAGACACTCTCGCGCGTGGCAGCAAGTAAATGCCTTTTTCCGGGGCTTTGGATAGAACATGGAGTAGCGCCTCATTTTCCGCTCATTGATAAATAGGTTGACGTTGCCAAATGTCTGACGCCAATATTGAGCTGTTGACTGGTGAGCTGGCCCTAAGCAGCCATCACTCATACGCCCCATTGCCAGTGGCATTTCCATTGCTTGTCGCTTGTTGCCAACTGTCCCAAGTGACGCGTAGTGCGCATAAATAAGCGTCCCTACACACTCCCTCCTTCAGCCATCCATCGACTGGTGTACAGATAATTGGCAAGAGAGAGCGAGCGGCGGCCACCGAGTGGGTGTCCACAAGGCTGAGCCAGCCTTGGTCCCCACTGACTTGCTGGCGCCTCACAATTTGACACTCATTATTTACTCAAAAATTGTTTCTGGGCAGATAAGAAGAAAGCTAGGATAGGCCTTTGAGTGGGCGATGCTTAAAGGTCAGAAGATTATTGCATAGGAAGAGCAAGAAGTTGTTGGGATATTTAGGGGAATTTAATGTAAAAATGGAATGGAACTGAACTCGTTTTAAAGCCATAGGAACGACTGTAAAATATCAAGAGATTGCAAGAGTAAGAAGTTCCATTTAAGCTTTCATTCGATGCTTTTTGGTACTGCAACTCCGACTAGCTTTTGGGCTATCCTTCGCCTTCGCCTTCGCCTCTGTTTGCCAATGCCTTGGGGCAACTGAGTCCGTCTCATGTAACATATTGGTAATTGCCTTTAAGCAACACCAATCCCAGGCTTAACCATAACAGACTGAGAAGTGCTGCTGCAAGACGCGTGACAATACCTTCCATAATTCTTGAATATTTACGTTTCCACTGTGAGAAATTTGTTCATGCAACGTTTACACGTGACTGGCAGCATTCCAATCAGTTATTGAATAAGCGAAAACTATTCACTAGAGAGAACTTCCTGCCCCACCAATCGAAGACCGTTCTCTCTCTCACTCTCTGTCTCTCTTGTTGGCATTGGCATACCTTTCAACGGTCTATAGACTTCTAAGTCGTACACCCCACTGTGCATATACCTCACCCCCTCCCTTGCAGTGCATCGCATTTCAATTACATTTTTTTTTCTTGCATTCAATTTTTTATTTAACTCAGTGAACCGTGTCCGTTGGGGGGTTCCGGTTCCCGCTATCCGCTACCCATGAGCTTATCATCTGCTGGCCGTGTTTGGCAAACGCTTTTCCATCGTTGAATAGCTGCCAAAATGTCACACAACCTCAGCGACGAAGAAGAAGACAGCCCCAGATGGGAGGTCCTCTGAGGAGGAGGAGTGGGTTGGAGCTCTGCCTTCGCTGTGCTTCGGGGACGCTGGGCCAAGCAAGCGGCGGGCTTTATGGAATTTCAAGTGGCATTGCAATTGGACGACGTATGGGAATATTTCTTCGAGGTGTCCAGAAGCTTGAGCCACGAAATATCACCGATATGTGATACCAATGGAATCGCCGCAAATTTGAATGTGGATCCAATATGTCACCCGCAAAATACTCGAGCGGCAGTTGCTCCACATACGTGATCGTGCGGATGTTCCAGTTCCAGAAATCTAACATTTTCGAGATAAAACAGAGCAGGGTTCCAGCTGCGGGTACTTCCAGTTCCTCCTCTTCCGCATTACCCGCAAGCAGATCGTTCAGTGTTGCCGGCTCCATGTGTAGAAATTTATTTACAGTGTTTTCTATAGCTTGAATATACATATATTGATGATATGCAATGATATATATTTACATATATACTCTCTATCCTTTCAGGTGATTTGGGTGTGTATACTCTGCCGCAAGAAGCAGGAGCTGCTCTCGAAGACGGGCCAATGGATCAACAAAACGGGAGGCCAGCAGGATGGTTTCATACGCCGCATTGAGCCCGATGGCAGCAGCGTGAGTAGCAAGCAGCTCTAGCATGTGACAGGAAAGACCGCTGACATGTTTCTTTTATTCTCTCTTCTTCCAGGACATCTCCCAGCAGGCCATTGTGGATCCGCATGACACTACGGACAAGCGGCCCAAGCTGGAACGTACGCGCAGTGCCGCCGAAAAGGAGAATCTGCCCATGCAACGTGCTGGCAGCATGCTACGGCGGCAATACTCGCAGCAGGAGCAGCCCACGAATCGCCGTTTGTCCGTCTCGGACAGTGGCATGGATCCCATGATGAGTCCTGGTCAGCAGCAGCAGCATCCGCAGCAGCAGCGTGGTCGCATGCAGCCAATGAATCCGCAGCAGTCGCAGCAGGGATACGGCGGCTATGGCATGCAGCAGCAGCAGCAACAGAGATCAGGTGGAGCCTATCCAGAGGATGATCCGCGTTACTATCAGGTGAGTTTTACATAAGAAAGCATTCTTTTGGTCTATAACTAATGCTTGTTCCACCACCAAATAGGGAGAACTGGATGGCTTGATGAGGCAACATCCACATTTGGCGCATCCCAGTCAAGTGCAGCCGCAACAGCAGCAACAACACTCGCAGCAACAGCAGCAACATTCGCAGCAGCAACAACACTCGCAGCAACAACAACATCACATGCCAACACAGCAGCAGCTACGTCAGTCACCGCAGCAACATCCACAACAGCAGCAGCAGCATGCACAGCAGCAACATTCACAGCAGCAGCAGCAACAGCAGCATGCACAGCAGCAACATTCACAGCAGCAGCAATTTACGTCGCGACAGCAAACGTATCAGGCACAGATACACACACCGCCACAAACCCACATGCAACCGCAACAGCAGCAGCCCCATGCCCACTCGCAGCAAATGTCCATGTCCCAGCAGATGGTGGGCGGCTATCAGAAGCCACCACCACTGACCCGCAACCTGACCATCAGCGGTGGACATGCCATGGATAGCAGCAGCTACGGCCAGCAGCAACAGCAGCAGCAGCAGCAACTCAACCAGCAGCAACATCGTAGGCCGCAGTATGCCTCACAGCAGCAGCGATCCTTCAGCAGTTCGGAGGAGGAGTTTCAGAATCAATTGCTGCAGGCACAGGCACAGGCTGCTGGCGCTGGAGCCACTGTCAGTGCGGGCTCCGATTACGATGGTGAGTTGAAACGTTTTGTCCAATTTGTCTCGCTCTCTCTCTCTCTCTCTCTCTCTGTCACCCTCTGTCTATCCCTCTCTCTCTCTCTCTCTCTATGATTGCCTGAGAGCGATCTCTGTCTCTCTATTGCTTCAAATTTTAAAGCGCTCTTAATGTCCCCCCCAACCAAACGACGTGGCAACAAGCTGCAATAATTGATGTTTTTTCTCCAAAATATTTCACTATCTCTCCATTGTCTATCTCTCTTTAACTGAAATAAGTCTTTGACTTTCGCGCTAACTAAAAACCCAAAAAGAAAACTATCAAAAATGTTTTTTCAACAACAAAAAAATAAGCACTCTCTCTCTCTTGTCACTCATTGGTGCGTTGTCTTTTTCTTTGGCTACGTTTTTCCAAAGCCAGTAATTGATGTGTTTTTTCCAACAACAACAAAAATAATCTCAAAAATCTTCACTGTGTAATCTCAAAGATTATTTTGTTCTCACACTTTTTTTTACCATTTATTTAATGTTCTTTTTTTGTACATACATTTTGCATTTCTTTATGTGTCCTTTAAGCCTTTTAAATGTTATTAAGTTAGTTTTAAATTTAAGATCTTAAACGTACATCCTTTAAGCCAGATTTAAGCGCTTAAAGGTCGAATCTTTTTCGTGTTAAATGCGGGAAAAATTTAAGCGGTTAACAGCAGGAAAGTTTTTTGCCACACACAGAGCCAGAGTTGCCTGCAAAACGAAGCCAAAACGCAGCCTGCAAAATGCCGGGGGGTTATAAAAATAGAGAGCAGAGGCACAAGTGTTAAACTCCTGCACTGGGTACACTGCGGAAAACCAAAATATACTTTAAAGAATTCTTGCTTAAAATTAGAGTTGCTCCGAATTGACGTACAACACACAAATAGCCACAGTTGAGACTCTAACTCTCTCAGTGTGTGCGTATTCCCATGAAAAATGAAATTTATTCACGAATTCTGACTAACATTTAAATTTAAAATGGAAATTCGATGCAGAAATTGTGCCCGTGTGTCGGGTCAGCTAGCTTTTGGCAATGAACATTGCACTCCACTTTCTGTCAGTGTATAAATTCGCACATATTTGCACACACGTGCAATGAATGAGTACATAAAAGAAGCAGCAGCAGAAGGGGGAAGAGCAGGTGGAGAAACAGCAGCAGAGGAAGGGAGGTGGAGGGAGCAGCAGCAGGCGAATGGGAAGTGGAACGAAGAATGTTTTGTAGCGGAAACATTTCGATGCGCTTATCTTTTGGTGCGGTTTGGGGGGCATAACACTTGACTCGACGCTCGACAACAGGCAGGGCCACGAATCTGTATCGGGAAAAAGGAGGAAGTGCACAAAAAAAAAGAGAGTGCAAGAAGAGGCAGCGGCAGAAAAATAAAAATAAATTGTTTACAGAGGGAAAACCGAAAAATGAAAATGAAAACGAGGCGACCGCGCGACAAGTGCGCACTTTTGGACGCTGCATACTTTTGGGAGCCACTTTTGTTGTACCGTTAAATGCAATCAGCATAAATTATAGACCAGGCCAAAAAAGTAGCAAAGGGGAGGGGAAGGAAAGAACGAAATGGTTGGATAGGCAGAAGCCCAAAGGAAAGAAAGGTGCAGCAGCGGCGATAGGTAAGAAAGGAAGGAAGGATGGGGACGGGAAAGGATATTCGGGGTGGTGGTACAGTAGGCACCATAAAGGTACAAAAAGGAGAAAGATATGCCGGTCGGGCCGGGCATGAAGGTTGCCTGCTTGCACACAGCTGACCCGAAAACACATTTTCCAACAAACAAGCAGAGCAGCAGAGGCAGAGGTAGAGCCATGAACGACAAGCAGCTTTTCCTTTTTGGCAGCCACCACAAAACATCAAGAAGTTGGCCAAGCAGCTGCACTTGGCCAATAACTGCGGGGGATGCAGTGTGTCAGTGTGTCGGTGTGTGTCGCTGGGGTGTCCTGCCTTCCTTCTGCTCTTCATGTATTTTTTTTTTGTGCTTTGGTTTGAAAGATGCGACGGGGCGATGGTTGTCAAGTGCGAGATGCTGGGGCAAAATTTATTATCCTAATTAGAAAGTTTCTTGTTGGCACTTGCTGCTGCTGTTGCAGTTGCAACATCCATGCCTTGCCCCTGCTGTTCCTGCTGCGACAAGCGTCTTTGCTGTAGCGCCTACAAGTATGCAACATGCGGCGCTGGTGATTTAAATTTCTTCTATTTTTTTATTGCTGCACATTAGCGCTCAAGTTTCTGGCAAGCATGTTGCACTTGCACTTGCTCCCCTGCCCCAGGAACTCCCTTTCCCAGCTGCTGTCGTTTTCAATTTCCGCCCAGCAAACTAGCATATAATAATTATTGATTTCAACTTTGGCCTCACAGTGTGCCACAGAGTGTGTGGCATGAAATTACGCGCACAAAACTTGTATGACTCTGCTCTGTGCCCGGTCCCCTCTGTCCCTGTTCCTGATCTGTGTTTTGGTGTGTGCAACCAGGCCGATAAGATGGCTCTGGGCATGTGTCCACCTGGTGGCGTTGCTGGCAAGTTGAGGGCCGCCAAGAGCTTATGTCTTCTCAGTGCTTGTAAATTACGAGTGTGGCAGTCAGTGTTGCAAAAACGTATGTCTGTTCAGTGTTGTAAATCAAATGTCAGTGTTGCAGAATGATAATGATAAAGTAAATAAATTTCAAGCAAAAAAGGAAGAGGAAACAGAATGAGGAAGAGAGTGTGGAGTGGAGTGTGGGTGTGAATGCCACAGTCTGAGTGGGTGCTGAAATGGGGTACTGTAGGGAGTGTGCAGTGTTGAAAGGGGAGTGCTGGGTAAAGTGCATCCACTACTTGCCTCAGTCTGAGTGGGTGTGTGGCGCGTGTGGGTGCAACCCTCTCGTAGGTGCTCGGTGCAGCTGCACTCAGGTGCCCAGGCCAGGCCAGGCCAGGCAAACCCACCATAGCCGCCGACACGCGCCTTCGTCAAAGAAAAAAAACAAAACCCAACACTTTGTTGCCAATTCACAATGCACGCGCCGTGCCGTGGCGGCCCCCAGACGTCATGCGTTGGAATGCGCTTTCCATCGGTCTTGGAAAATTCCCACACACAAAAGTGTCAGCAGCAGAGCGCATGCGCTGCCACCCGTTCGCCCCGCTATCCGCTCTCTCTTTTACACCTCTTACATATTCCATGGCTTTTGGGGGTGGCAGCAGCAGCACAGCAATGACAGCAGCAGCAGCGGTCGCAGCAGCAGCTGATGCAAGCAGCAAATTTGTAGTTGAACTTGAGAACTTGTGAGCGGGCAAATGTGTTGTGCATTGTTGTGCCGCGCGGAACCAGTTCTAGTTCTTTGGTTGGGAATTTAAGGTAAATTCTTGTGGGAAATTGTGTGTTTAAATAGAGGACTAATGGGATAAATGGGTAAACGAATTTATGTCTCTTATTTTCAGCGAATGATGCAATGATCTTGTACTCCTAATTACCCTTGGTTATACCATTTCTAAACTCATTTTTCAGGAATCATTATTAGGCTTTGTGGCTCCTAAGGCTCCTTAGTGCATTTCAACGAATTCCATTGATGATGTGGCCATCTAGTATCAGTAATATTTATGATAAATCAACTCTACACTTTCTAGTATTGCAAATTACCTAAAAAAAACCTTTTAACCATCTCTAGCCAACCCATTCCATGCACAGCTGCGTCTCGTTTGTCATTTGGCTGTCGATTTATTGGACTTTAGACGCTAGACTCTTATTTTTACACACTTTATTGTGTTACTCCTTACTCCTTTCCTGTGTACTTTGCCCCCGCCACAACCTGACCACACGACGTCATTTCATTCAGTGCATTTTTTTGGGGTTTGCTGCTCTGTGCAGCGTCATGCTCTTTACTACGAAACAACAACTAATGCAAGTTGCTGCAACCCACAAACCATGCAAACCCAACCACACACACACACACACACATAGAGGGGGAGGACTGGAAAGCAAAGACAAACACGTTGCTTTTGGCACTGTTTTGCCTTGAAGGTGGTGGGGGCAAAAGCAGGCGCAAAGACAAACACAACACGAATGGAGTCCAGCCTACCCGATCCCTCCACCCAGTGGCAACCCGCTGACCCCAACGTGGGGCAGCAGCTGTCAATGTTATCGCTGCTGGCGTCGCAGTGGCCGCTGCAGTCGACGCTGACGTTGACTATGGCTGTGGCAGGCAGCGTTGGCCACGCGCTTAACTTTATTTTTAGTTCGGGACTGGAAGCGCCATGGGAAAGTGCCCCTAACGGTGGCGGCAGCAGCAGCAATCGCGTTGTAACATTGTTATTGGAAAATGTGTTGTAGGCTCGCTCTCGCAACAACAACAAAAACAACATACACAAAACGAAACCAAAACCGAAGCGAACCAAACGGCTGACTGAAAGTGAGACTGAGACACCGAGAGGCGCTCGAGAGGCGCCCGAGAGTAGGCGCAAGCAAGGGAAAGCTGCTGTAGGGAAAGCAGCAGGAAGCAGGCAGCAGGCAGCAGCCAGAAGCCAGCAGGCAGCGTAAAAGCAAAAATTCCATTGAGATTTTTGTGCGAAATCGAAATGAAATTAGTTTTCGATGAACTTTAAAGGCGAGTAAAACCCCACAGGCCGCAACGGACGCGCACACGCATGTGGCACGTGTGTGTTGTTTGGCAAAAACCATCAAAATACTACAAAATACACACAGCACTAGCATTGCAATAAAATATACAACAAAATAAAATAAAAAGCCTGCGAAAAAGTGCGAAAAAGAAAGCGAAAGGCAAGAGGCAAAGGCGAATGGCAAATGCGAGAAAGGGAAAAGCCCTTCGCTGCTATTCCTGGTGTGTGTGCTCTGTGAAATTCAGTGATGAAAGTCGTGCTAAAAATAACCTTGGTGTAAAAGTTGTGTTGTAGCAGGAGGCGAGGAAGAGAGAAGGAAAGAAAACAGCCTGAAATATGCTGCTCCTGGCTGCTGGCTAAGGAGTTCGAAGCGGGAAACGGTAGACGGGAAAACGA